TGCTTTATTGCTATTTCAACCAAAACATCATTACCATCACTCTATTTCGCTGTGAATTGACACTGACGGGGCCAAAGACTCTCATTTTCCAAGATGGTGTTTGTTTTGAACTCGGGTCGTGGTTGTAATGCGGCTGTGATGCGTCGAAGCTGTCCAAAACGAGCCACTGATGCCGCATCCCACCCAGTGTGAGACGAAGGGCAGTGGAAGTGGAGCGGACGGGCACGCTGGAGCGATTCATGGGAACAACATCAGCAAGAGCGGCCGGTGGTTCACCACTAACAATGCTGTGGCTGCTCTTACGGACAATTAATCGCTGCTAGTTCTTATTCCCCCCCCCCCTCTCCCTCCCTCCCTCTTCCTCTGAGGCTACAAGATGACCACAGCCCTCCCATATGAATATGGCAAACATACCATGAGACATGAAAGAAGGCAAACATGGATGTCCTGGCTGCCATGCAGATGTGGGGGGGGAGAGGAATGTACACAGAAAACCAGAACGAGGTGAACGAGGGCCGACGCATGACAACATATTCAAGTAATCAAAGATCGTTTAGGTCAAACTTGAATATATCTGAACCCCGATTGCTCAGCAATCCGTCCTGTCAGTGTTACGAAAGACATGCTCACATGCTCGGAGAAAAAATGGGAAGTCATTGTGTTTAGTAATCTATGGCTTTAAAACGGGCTGTTTACTGTAATGAGCCAAGCTTCCAGTGGTGACATGTACATATTTGTGCATCTACTCAAGTACTGTTCTTAAGTACAATGTTTAGGTACTTGGATCTTACTCGAGTATTTGCATTTTATGTTACTTTATACTTGTACTTTCTATTCCACTACTTCCACTATTTTGTACATCAAGCTTTTACATAGAAATGTCAACTTAAACATGAAATATAGCGCACGGTTACAGGTTAAACTACCACATGAAGCAGTTAAAACTACAACAGCAACAACAACACTTCTTGCACATTAAAGCATCCTAAATAACTAAAATATATGATAATACAACACTCAAGGCGGCCATTTTTCTGTAGATTGAGTACTTTATAGTGTATATCTGAAGTACATTTTGCTCTGTACTTTTACTTATTTATACTTTAACTTGTAACAAAGTATTTGTACATTATGGTAATGCCACTTGTTCTCAAGTAAAAGGATCTGATCTTTCACTTCTACATACGTAATTGAGACAAATCATTTTCACCACAAGACACAAGATGAAAAATACATTTCTGGTGAAGAGGCAATGTTCCACTTACACTCATAATACCCTTCAGTTTTACGGAATTGACAATACAAGTGTGTGTGGGAGACGGTTTCATCCAAAACAGATACTTCAGCTGAAAAATTGAACTTTATAAGAAAGCATAAATGCCAGTATGTGGCAAACAGCTAAGTCACTGGTATTTATCGACGAACCTATCAATCCCCAGAGCGTAAATGACCACGAGGCAGTTAAAAAATACAACTTATTTATCCTTTAAGACGCCGTTTAATGAGCCTGCGGTCACATTAACTGATGTGGTGCAGCACAGCTTGAGATTACCGCCCAACAAGTCTGAGCGTTTGTGTTTTGTGTCGCTGATAAGTCTCTTTGCTTCATGTGAGGCCAGAGAGTTAGTGTGTCAGTGAAAAGGCTGATTACACAATACAGAGGCTTGTGCTGAGTCCTGATTCCCCTCAAAGCCACACGAGCACAGAGCTGCGTTTGACTGTGCTGACCCAGGTGTCTAATCTTAGCAATTCTCACTCACGGTGTGACAAATTTAATCATCTAAATTTTTGCTTTAGGCAAACAAGGAGACACTTTAAATACTGTACAAAGAGAGGCGAGTAAATAGGAAATGCCGAGCACTGAGGAAAGGCAGAACTCTGCCCTCTGTTGGATGTGAGGAGGAGCAACAGCAAACTGTTGCTTTAACAGACGGTCACTGCAGACAACTTCCAATTTGTTGAGTTTCCCCAGAACTTCTTTCATCTCCTGTTCGGTTAGAAAAAAGATCTAACATCCAGTCATCCCACTTAAACGTTATCAGTGACCCCGTCCTCCCTTCTGAGGACGGGGTCGTCAGCACAGGAGGCAGAAATCAAACCCTCCAGAGGAGGCTGAGGAGGGACGGACTGCAGCACCAACAGAGACTGATAGGGCCTACAAGCCAGAGGAGGACAGCTTTGACCTGGAGGAGCACAAATCCTCAGAAATCAAGTCTCCCGGGACAGAGAGAGAGGGAGAGAGAGAGGGAGAGAGAGAGAGACTCAACTCTGTCAACAGCAAGAGGAAAAATCCTGCCTGAGGAAGGAGCGCTGACATGTAGATTGTTCCTTTTGTTGGGGAGTGGATGGAATGATTGGACAGGAAAAGCTCATAAATAGTACACCCGTGACTTTTACAAGCTGTGATGGAATATACAGTATATATAGAAATATATACTTGAAGTCGGGACAATTAGTCCATTAATCGATTACGTCAACTAACAGAAAAATACATTGAATGTATTTGCATTTTGGACTTTTGGTTCAGCATAACAAGACATTTAAAGACATCATCTAGGGACTTGATCTCAACTTTTTAGAAAAGACAAGTTCTTCAATGTTTTAAAGTTTTAAAAAAACATAGTTGACAACTGCTAAATATAACCTAAATATGACCCATTTAAGAAATATGAAGTATGTCTTTGTGTGTGACGTTAAGATACAGAAAACTTGCTCCAGCTTTATTTTCCACTGTAACAAAAGTTAATTTATTCCGATAGGACTAGTTGGGTTTGCATTGAAGTCAGTAAACCTCAGACGTATGAACGCATCTGCTGACGTCCGCAAGGCGCTGTGTCCAAATGATGCCGTTCACTGTCTGTACGTTTAACACAGGAACACATCGGACAATATCCCCCGAGAGATTTTCATTTGGGCAGGAAGCAGGTGCCTCCTCCTGAACCTGGAAGGACAACAACAAGCAAGCACGACACATCTGAGAGTATTAAAGTAAACAACTGCAGAGTGTGAGGCTGCTTGAGGCCAGGCTGCAGTAGAGAAGACGTCTCACATCAGGGTCAGTGAGGGTTGAACCATGCTGAACTTGTAGAGTTCAAATCTGTACGAGAATCTATTTGCTCCAACATCACATGCATTGTACTTAAATAACATTTAGCTCTGATTATGTTTAAAGTGTGACATCACCCTTTGGATCATTTCACTCCAGCTACAGGTTTTTGTATTTGCTGTAAATTCCCTCCCCTACATCCCTGCTGTAGTTTTTCCTCAGAGGAGAGACGATCGATCTGGGACAGGACCTTGGAGCTGCAGACGGGATTTCAAGCAAGTCTGCCACCCCCCCCTCCCCCCCCCCCACCCCCCCGCCTGTCGTCTGTGAAAACACTCCAGGGGGAGATTACGCCAAACAGCCCCGGCTCGTAAAACTCTTTTTATGTTAAAAACACACACCCTGGCTCTTCCCTGACGCAGTCCAGAATATGTCGCAAAGTTATATATACTTTTCTCAATGCACGGGGGAGATTAACATTGTGGTTCCTAAAAGGTCAGACCTAGATCTGTATGAAATGAAGATGCTGCATTCAAGCCCTGTATCTGGCCTTTTCTAACTCAACTACATTCAACACTTCAGCAGAAAAACAACTTCCACGGCTGAGACAAAGCTCTCCACCCCCTGTGTGGCTTCTGTATGGGCAAAGAAGAGGAAGGGAAAAGGGAATGTTTTGCCTCCCCCACACACACACTCCTCTTCCTCACCTCCCCTGGGGCAGCGCTGTGTAGTAATAAACGTCCCCCATAAATCTCCCCCTCACTCCATCATCCCCTCCTCCATCTCTAACTTTTTTTTTCTTCTTCTTCTCCTGGTTAACAGCTTCTTTTCTTCTCCCCCAGCCCTGCCTTTATTTCCCCTCTTCTCTCCTCTATTGCAACCCAACCCTGACATTGACTCTGCACATGGCCGATGGGCGCTCCGTCATGGACTTAAGAGGGCGGGAGGGAGAGAGAGAGGAAGACGATGGATCACAATGGATTTGTATAGGTTTCCCTCTCTGCAGCCCAGCTCTTTCACGTGTGGCTGCAAGCGTGATTGTCACTGGCTGTGGTTGGATCTGGTGAGATCACTCGTGTATCAGGTTACGGCCTGCCTGATGGAATGACACATATTCCAGCAGCATTGTGTATACCTGCTGGTGAGGAAGAGGAGCCGTGGTGTGAGAAAGAAGAGTTTAATGGGGAAATAACTGTGGTCGGGAAAGAGTTAAAAGCCCTGGCTGCCTGAATTCACCGGAAAGTCCCACAAGTGACGTTACAGTCCAGCAATTAGGAGTAAATTAATTACAGAGTAGTGGATGGTAGCAGAAACCCTGAGGATAATGCAGCGCCTCCCAGTAAACAACTCCAGACTAAGTACCAGACTTCCATTAGGAAAAGAAGGAAATAAAGCTGAAGCCCAGCTTACTTTTTGCCACTGTGACTTCAAAATAAACTGAGAGCAACAAGATGTACTTGAACATTTAAGTTAAGACACTATTCCTCTAACAAAGTTAATAAACAGAACAGAATAATAAGTCACTTTTATGTGATAAACCAATAAACTGGCTGACTATAGAGATACAGCTATTTCTTTTACTGCACGTTGGTCCGAAATAAAAAACGGTTCAGTATTGATACTGCGTGCAAACCGTGTAGTAATCTCAAACAAACTGACAACCCACTGAAAGTTTGTCTCCCTCCAGAAGAGGAAGGAGAAAAAAAAAAGAAAAAAAAGTTAACATAAAAAGTTACCGCCCAGTGCTCGAGGCTCCTCCTGCAAAGGATTATAAAGCAAATGTCGGAGCTGGTGCAGAGCAGAGGGGGTGTTTCTGCAGGGTCAAAAAATATCCAGGAGCTGCAAAACAGAAACTCAGCAGACCTGCGCAACTTTTCGAGCAAGCACACTTTACTTTTTTGGTTTGGGATTTTTTTTTTTTTTTTTTTTAAATTTCAGACGTGTGCTCTTTCTAAAAAACGACTACTTTTGATTTAACCCTGGTCCGCTGCAAAGATGACCACAGCCGTGCTGTCGCCGCCTTTCTTCGACTTCGAAATAATGAACAAGGTAGCTATACAACTTTTCCTCTCTGTTAGCACGTTAGCCTCTGTGGAGGAATGAGGAGCTGCACGCGGCCCTCCGCCGTGACGCGCCTGTTTTGGAGGCTTGTTTTGTTTTTGCTTGTTTTGGATTGTTGCTCTTCGCTTCGCTTTGAAGTTCTCACAAACCTGTTGTTTCCCGTCTCTGTCCTGAACGCGGTGTTTGTGTCAAACGAGTGTCTGTAAAAAGTGTTGCCCCAGCCTGCCTGTAACTTAACATTAACTGTTAACAATTGTTGAAATGTTAAAACGTGTTATAGTCAACATGTGCCACGTCAGTTAACCCCAAAATGTCTAGTTTTGCTAACTGGCAGTTTCCCCACGTCTCTCGTGTCCCTCTTTCTGTTAATGAGCGCAGTTTTGCGCCACTTTTAATACTCCTCACAAAGCAGCCACATGCTCGCTAATCATTGACTAGATTCGTCTGGCTTTTAGTTGCTATTGCCTCCATAAACCTTGTTTCTGAGAGTAACCGCGTTAATATTTGTTAACGCTTAACTGGTTTTAGAAATCGTTAACGGTTCACCGGAGAGTTAACGTCACTGCAATGTTTTCGTCCGCGTGCACTTTAATGTTTTCAGTGTCAGATTATTTATTTATTTATTTATTTATTTGAACTGCTCCTTTTTTTTCCTGCGCGGTTGTTTTTTTTAATTGTAATACTGATGTCAGTCAGTGACCGCACCAGTGAAGTCTTCTAGTTTGTACGTGTATTGAGACGCAGATCAGCTTCCCCTCGTAATTCATTCAGCAGGATGCTTCGCCACCTTCATTATCTCCCAAATGATGCCGCCTCTTTGTAGCCACGAGCAGCCCTGTGGCCCCTCATGGGCTGCTGCTCCATTTACTAAACAGGCACACATTCCTAACCGGGGCAACTTGCCAAACCAGCTGCTGCTCTATAGGCCTGTATCCGCTTATGTTGTCGGAGCCAAAAAGAACACAGTCATGCAAGAGGAGCCTGTTCCCACCAGCTCTCTTTTTAAGATCAGGACCACACTGATCAGCCGAGGTGACCGTGTAGATTATTGATCCTAATGATATGTATTCTTTGTGTCTCTGCAGAACAACAAACTGCTCAGCTACAACAACAACCTGGGCGCCCCCCATCCCATGTCTGTCCCTTGCACTGGCACTAATGTGCCCATCTCCAGCCCCGCCGGAGCCCTGCTGGACAGGAAGGCGGTGGGATCTCCCCCGTTGGGAGGCGTGTACCAGCGGCGGCACTCCGTCAGCAGCACAAAGTTCAGCCAGAACCAGTTTCTGAACAGCCTGAAGGCGACGGACCACTCCTCGCTCATCTCAGGGCTTGGCAATGCCGGCAGCAGCAGCAACAACAACAAGGAGAACCGCATGCGAGACCGCTCCTTCTCCGAGACGGGCGAGAGGCTCCTCAACAAGTGCCTGGGCCCCGCCAGCCCCACCGGCGGCAGCCAGGTGAACTCCAGCCGCTACAAGACGGAGCTTTGCAGGCCCTTTGAGGAGAACGGCTCCTGCAAGTATGGCGACAAGTGCCAGTTTGCTCACGGAATCCATGAACTACGCAGCCTGAGCCGCCACCCCAAATACAAAACCGAGCTGTGCCGCACCTTCCACACCATCGGGTTCTGCCCGTACGGGCCTCGCTGCCATTTCATCCACAACGCCGAGGAACGCCGCGGACCTCCCCAGCAGTGCTCCCCTCTTAACTCCTGCAACAAGATGGACAGGCCTCGCCTGCAGCACAGCTACAGCTTCGCGGGCTTCTCCAGCTCAGCCGGGCTGAGAGACAGCCCCACCTCTGTCACCCCTCCGCCCATGTTCTTCCCCGATGAGGTCCCAGACTGGCCCAGCTGTAACCCCTTCACCTACTCCAGCCAGGAGCTGGCCAACCTGTTCGGCCCCAGCCTCGGTGCCGGTCCTGTGGGCACAGAGCCCAACGCCCCTGCACCTCCCTCTCCGACGAGCACACCTTACTATTTCAGACCCATGTTGGTGTCCCCCCAGATGTTCGAGTCTCCATCCAGCCCTCCCGACTCTCTGTCAGACCAAGATGGCTACCAGAGCAGCTCCGGAGGCAGCCTGAGCGGCTCCGAGTCCCCCACGCTGGATACAACCCGCCGCCTTCCCATCTTCAGCCGCCTCTCCATCTCTGATGATTAGACTGCAAGCATCCACCAGTGACTTTAAAGTTCGATGACACAAAGAGAACGCGGCACTCCCCTCTACCTCTGCACCCTTGTCCCGAGCCCCCCCCCCCCCCCCCCCCCCCCACAAACAACACCGTGTTAGCTCCTTGTTAGCATTGCAAGGATGTAGTCAGTTAAGGGAACGCTCTCTCTCTCTCTGTGTCTGTCTCTCTCTCTCCTCATTCCATCTCTGTTAAGTTTTAAAAAGTACCCTGCCATGTGTCATAGTGCCAAAAAAAGGAGGAAATTGAACAATGAAAATCATGAGAACAAGAATTGACTGTTTTGCCAGGTGCCACTTTTTTCTTTTCTTTTTTTTTTTTTTCTTCATTTGTTCTTGAATGTGTGGCAGCACAAGTGGCCTTGGAAAGGGGAGTGCTTTGCACTAGCCCCCCCCCAACCCCCTCTCTCCTCCCGCCCTCTTCCCAGAAGATACCACTTCCCCTGAGTTAGCTAGAGGGTGCTCACTAACGTAACTGTAGATCTACCGCAGCCGTTTTTTACAGACTGAGTTAAGACAAAAGAAAAGGAAAAAAATAGACCCTGAAAAGATATGAATAGTTTTTAAAAATAAAAAAAAGTGCCTGGGCCGGTTTCTGCATGCGTTTAGGGTGACTGGACTACTGTTTTTTGGTTCTTTCTCATTACCCCCCCCCCCCCTCCTCCTCTGTCACAGTTGTTCTAAAGCCCCGTCCGTCTTATATAATTGTGGACTGGGTGAGTCTGCAGGAAGGACTTTGAACTGGAAGTTGGTTATGTCCCCCCCCCTCTCTCCCTCCTCCTGTTGCTGGTCACTGGCTCTTTATTGGGAAGGAAGTCTTGCTATCAAACTGATCATTAAACCTGTAAGACTTTGTCCCGCCTCCCCACCCTGCCTCTTCCTGCCTTCATCCTCGCCAGTCTGGGGAATTCCAGCATTCCCATGGTGCAGTTGTACATCCTGCGATCAGATTTCCAAGCTATTTGACTTTACTTCTTCCCTACTTTAGTACCTGCTCTGAGGAGCTCTGTACTCATTACATCTTTTTTTTTTTTTTTTTTTTTTTTTTTTTTTTTTTTTTTTTTTTTTT